AAAAAAGAACTACAGGCCAATATCCCTGATGAATATGGATGCAAAAATTCTCAATAAGATACTAGCAAATCAAATTCAACAGCATATAAAAAAAATTATTCACCATGATCAAGTGGGATTCATTCCTGGGATTCAGGGCTGGTTCAACATTCACAAATCAATCAACGTGATACATCACATTAATAGAAGAGATAAGAACCATATGATCCTGTCAATCGATGCAGAGAAGGCATTTGACAAAATTCAGCACCCTTTCTTAATAAAAACCCTTGAGAAAGTCGGGATAGAGGGAACATACTTAAAGATCATAAAAGCCATTTATAAAAGCCCACAGCTAACATCATCCTCAATGGGGAAAAACTGAGAGCTTTTTCCCTGAGATCAGGAACACGACAGGGATGTCCACTCTCACCACTGTTGTTTAACATAGTGTTGGAAGTTCTAGCATCAGCAATCAGACAACAAAAGGAAATCAAAGGCATCAAAATTGGCAAAGATGAAGTCAAGCTTTCACTTTTGGCAGATGACATGATACTATACATGGGAAATCTGACAGACTCCACCAAAAGTCTGCTAGAACTGATACATGAATTCAGCAAAGTTGCAGGATACAAAATCAATGTACAGAAATCAGTTGCATTCTTATACACTAACAATGAAGCAACAGAAAGACAAATAAAGAAACTGATCCCATTCACAATTGCACCAAGAAGCATAAAATACCTACGGATAAATCTAACCAAAGATGTAAAAGATCTAAATGCTGAAAGCTATAGAAAGCTTATGAAGGAAATTGAAGAAGATATAAAGAAATGGAAAGACATTCCCTGCTCATGGATTGGAAGAATAAATATTGTTAAAATGTCAATACTACCCAAAGCTATCTACACATTCAATGCAATCCCAATCAGAATTGCACTAGCATTCTTCTCGAAACTAGAACAAGCAATCCTAAAATTCATATGGAACCACAAAAGGCCCCGAGTAGCCAAAGTAATTTTGAAGAAGAAGACCAAAGCGGGAGGCATCACAATGCCAGACTTTAGCCTCTACTACAAAGCTGTCATCATCAAGACAGCATGGTATTGGCACAAAAACAGACACATAGACCAATGGAATAGAATAGAAACCCCAGAACTAGACCCACAAACGTATGGCCAACTCATCTTTGACAAAGCAGGAAAGAACATCCAATGGAGAAAAGACAGTCTCTTTAACAAATGGTGCTGGGAGAACTGGACAGCAACATGCAGAAGGTTGAAACTAGACCACTTTCTCACAACATTCACAAAAATAAACTCAAAATGCATAAAGGACCTGAATGTGAGACAGGAAACCATCCAAACCCTAGAGGAGAAAGCAGGAAAAGACCTCTCTGACCTCAGCCGTAGCAATTTCTTACTCGACTCATCCCCAAAGGCAAGGGAATTAAAAGCAAAAATGAATTACTGGGACCTTATGAAGATAAAAAGCTTCTGCACAGCAAAGGAAACAGTCAACAAAACTAAAAGGCAACCAACGGAATGGGAAAAGATATTTGCAAATGACATATCAGACAAAGGGCTAGTATCCAAAATCTATAAAGAGCTCACCAATCTCCACACCCGAAAAACAAATAACCCAGTGAAGAAATGGGCAGAAAACATGAATAGACACTTCTCTAAAGAAGACATCCGGATGGCCAACAGGCACATGAAAAGATGCTCAATGTTGCTCCTCATCAGGGAAATACAAATCAAAACCACACTCAGATATCACCTCACGCCAGTCAGAGTGGCCAAAATGAACAAATCAGGAGACTATAGATGCTGGAGAGGATGTGGAGAAACAGGAACCCTCTTGCACTGTTGGTGGGAATGCAAATTGGTGCAGCCGCTCTGGAAAGCAGTGTGGAGGTTCCTCAGAAAATTAAAAAATAGACCTACCCTATGACCCAGCAGTAGCACTGCTAGGAATTTACCCAAGGGATACAGGAGTACTGATGCATAGGGGCACTTGTACCCCAATGTTCATAGCAGCACTCTCAACAATAGCCAAATTATGGAAAGAGCATAAATGTCCATCAACTGATGAATGGATAAAGAAATTGCGGTTTATATACACAATGGAGTACTACGTGGCAATGAGAAAGAATGAAATAGGGGCCTTTGTTGCAACATGAATGGAACTGGAGAGTGTGATGCTAAGTGAAATAAGCCATACAGAGAAAGACAGATACCATAGGTTTTCACTCTTACGTGGATCCTGAGAAACTTAACAGAAACCCATGGGGGAGGGGAAGGAAAAAGATAAAAGAGGTTAGAGTGGGAGAGAGCCAAAGCATAAGAGACTCTTAAAAACTGAGAACAAACTGAAGGTTGATGGGGGGTGGGAGGGAGGGGAGGGTGGGTGATGGGTATTGAGGAGGGCACCTTTTGGGATGGCACTGAGTGTTGTATGGAAACCAATTTGACAATAAATTTCATATATTGAAAAAAAAAAAGACTGTGGCTGGTTTGGGGGCGCCTGGGTGGTTCATTCAGCTGAGCGTCCGACTTTAGCTCAGGTCGTGATCCCGCAGTCTGTGAGTTCGAGCCTCGCGTCGGGCTCTGTGCTGACCTCTCAGAGCCTGGAGCCTGCTTTGGACTCTGTGTCTCGCTCTCTCTCTGCCCCTCCCCCATTCATGGTCTGTCTCTCTCTCTCTCAAAAATAAACTTTAAAAAAAAAATTAAAACTAAATAAATACATACATGTGGCTGGTTTGGATTCCTTTGGTTCATTCAGGACCTTGGCATAGATCCTAGGAATAGTCAGTCGTTAACCATGTTTAGTAAAGCTGTGTTTGACCAGTGAAATGAAATGACAGAGCAGCCATCTGACCTGGTAATGGGCTGTTGGATCTTTCTGCCCTTGAACTTCCTCTTAGAACTTAGTCCTATTTTATTTCCTTTTTTGTTCCCTTCCTCCCCTTTCCCTTCCACAATCTTGTCAGACATCCATTTCTGGAGAGACATAGTTTCTTCCAGGAATTTCAAACTTTGGACCTTTCTCATTAAGAATGCATTTATACTTATATGCATTACATGTATGCAGTACATACGTGTGTCTGATTAGGAATGGGTTTGTATGTAGATTACATGTACGTGTTAATCTACGTGTGTCTGATTAGGAACACGCTTATATATGTGTTACGTGTGTGTGTGTGTGTGTGTGTGTGTGTGTGTGTGTGTGAGAGAGAGAGAGAGAGAGAGAGAGAGAGAGAGAGACAGAAAGAGACAGAAAGAGCCGTCCCCCTGTTGTCCCAGAACCACTGCACCTGTTCTCTACCTTGGGCTCTCCTAGTTTCCGGCTGATGGAAAGAAACCATTGTCTCTTATCCGGAGGCCCAGTGGGATCTGTGTGGCCCTGGAGTGTCTCTCGTTAGCCGTGTGCTCTCTCCGTGATCGCGAGAATGAAGCACTCCGTTAACTGAAACCCTAAGTCACACACTCATTTCTTTCTTTGAGTTGAGTAAACTCTTGGTTTGGGCTTAATCATAGGGACTAAGACTCAGGAAAGGTGGTTTCTGCCCCAGAAAGATTTTGGGAAATAATTATCTGGAGAAGAATGAAGAATTACCAGAGGATGAAAGTGAACTTACTACCACATGGAAATGAAGATATTACCCCCTTTTCTGTAACCTTTGTAGAACCACCTATCTGTTGTGTCTGTTTCTAGTTTGTTTTTTGGCTCTTTAAAATGATTGTATGTTGAGTCTTTCAGTATCTTCCTTATCCTAGAAAAAGTATGTTGGACAAAGACATGGCCATGTGAACAGGAACAACCACCGCCTCTGTGCACTTGTTGGTCATTGTTGTATACACCGCGGGTAACGCAGTCTTACCAGTGTCATCGAGTCACGTATCTCACAGGACCTTGATGTCACATAGACCAATGCATGACTCAGTGATAATGTCCCCTAGAGCCTGGCAAAGTACTGCCCAAGGGACACACCTGCCCTCATTTTCTGGAAATAGTTTTATTGAAACCCTGCCTTGTCTTTTCATTTCTGTGCTGTGGCCACTTCGACACCACAACAGCATATTTGAGTAATTATGACAGAGAACTTAGGACCCACAAAGCCTGGTGTGTTTGCTCTCTGGACCTTCGTGGGAAAAATTGCTAACCTTTGCCTAGTCAATGCTAGAATTTCCATGGGTGACAAAAATACTCTGAGAGAGAACCATCTTCTAAAATCTCTGTTAAAAACAAAATACTACTTCGTGTGTCATTTTACTTAAGTCTAATATAGTATCCTAGTTAGAAAATTATTTCAGTTAAAATACAAAATCCTGGATTTGCACCTATTTTGTGCCCAGTTAGGGTAGGTTTCCTTGTCTAAAAGATAATCCTTGCTTCATAGTTAAGATTTAAAGTATCCATAACCATTTCCCCCAGCAGCTCCATAATCACATAATGATTTTCTCTGAATACACTTAGCTTTTTAATGACAAGATGAACTTTAAAATGTCAAAGCCATTCTTCAAAGGAACACAATTTACTCAAATGTATTTAGTCATTAGAAAAAGGCTTTCCCTAAAATAATCAGCTGACTAAAGATACGACTGTAATCCCTCAGTAGTTTCACCACAAATTATGCTGTTTGGATGTTGTAATTTATTCATGGTGAATTTAGCTCATACGTATTTGAATTAAATATCCATTGACATTTGTCTGAAAGCGTGATGTCTTCTCTGTGTATTCACAGTGTAGCTGTACTGTGCTGTCTGCTTTGGCTCAGAGGGGCCATCGATCCCCATTCTTGCTCCTGTGCGGACCACTGCTGCTCCGTGTGGCTCCCCCAGACCCCTGCCTACCCCTTTCCTGTGTGGTTCCACATGTAACACATGCGGCCACCTTTAGACACCAGGGTTTCAAAACCGAGTGGGACCACAGAGGATCTTAGTACCTTGTGAAGTGTTGTGGTGTCAGTAGTTTATGCCACGTTTCCAGAAGGATGACCTGGCATACTGTTCTTTTAGAACTCCAACCTGATTCATCAGAAGGTGTGTCCTCCTAACGATCGACAAGGGTCTCCTGTACTGTCCTTCATCGTCCTGGAACAGTTCAATGCCATTCGCTTAGTGCAGACCGTCCACCAGTCTCTTGCCGCTCTCAGCAAAGTCATCAGAGGGACTACCTTACTGAGTTCAGAAGTACAGAAACTGGCCAGCGCTTTACTAAACCAAAAGGTAAGCCCAATTAAGGACACGTGTTTTTATTCCCTTATAAAAAGTGACTGTTCCATTATGTATACATTTGTCAAGTCTTACAGTTAATAGTAATAGAAAATCCAAGTCAAGCTAGCTTAAGCCAGGTAGGAATTCATTGGCTGATGTAAGTGGAGGATCCCAGGGGGGCCAACATGAAGTCACCTTGAGGCAGGGGCTTCAAATTGTCACTAGGATCTTAGCTTGTGTTGTTTATCTACCTGTCTAGGCACGTTGTATGTGAGTGCATAGACATACACACATGTATATGTGTGCATGTGTTTGTGTATATATGTGTGTGTGTGTGTATATATGCATATAGGTGTGTATGTTTGTATATGTGTGTGTGTGTATGGATGTGTATATATGAATGTGTATGTGTGTTTATATATGTGTATATATGTGTGTATGTGTATATATATATATATATATATATATATATATATATATGTATGTGTGTATGGATGGGTGGGTGTGTATATATGTACATGTGCATGTACATATGGATAGATGTGTATGTATGTGTGTATATACGTGTATGTATGTGTGTATATACGTGTATGTGTGTGTATATACATATGTGTATGTATGCATGTGTGTATACATGTAGGTGTGTATGCACATGTGTGTATATATGTGTGTATATATGTATGTGTATACGTATGGATGGATGTGTATATATGCATGTGTGTATATATGTGTGCATGTGTGTGTATATATGTATGTGTGTAAGTATGGATGAGTGTGTGTGTGTATATATGTATGTGTATGTATATATGTACGTGTCTACATATGGGTGGATGTGTATATATGTATGTATGTGTATGCGTATATGTATGTGTGTACATATAGATGGATGTGTATATATGTATGTGTGTGTATATATGATGTGTGTATATGTATGCATGCGTACATATATATGTATGTGTGCATGTATGCATGTGTATGTATATGTGTGTGTGCATGGATGGATGGATGTGTATATATGTGTGTATGCATGTGTGTGTATGTATATGTGTATATATGTATGTGTGTATATGTGTATGTATGTATATGTGTATGTATGTGTATTATGTATGCATGTGTATGTATCTATGTGTGTGTATATATGTATGTGTGTGTATTATGTATGCATGTGTATGTATATGTGTATATATGTATGTGTGTGTGGATGGATGTGTATATATGTGTGTATGTATGCATGTGTACATTTATATGTATGTGTGTGTATATGTATGTGTGTATGTATGAGTGGATGTGTATATATGTATGCATGTGTCTATGTATGTGTGTGTGTGTGTGTGTATGTATATATATGTATGTATGTGTGTTGATTTCACTTTGGGGCAGGTTCTCTGTACATGGTGGTATCCTGGCAGTCTGAGTCTTGTTATCCTCTGAGCTCCAAGTCCAACAGAAAAGAAACCTTTTTCCCGGTAACTCAAGCAAAAATCTTGGGATTAGCTGTAATCCAAAATGATTGGCTTGTGTAGTCCCTTGGTCGTTCTCTGGGCAGGATTTGCAAAGCTCTCATTGGCTAGGGCTTCGCCTGAATGCCTGTCCCAGCAGCTGGAGATAGATTCAGCTTCATCTGTTAATGTGTATACTGCAAGTAAGGGAGGGATGGTTATCTGGTGGAAAAATCAAGGTACTTTTAGCAGAAGAAAGGGAAATCATGTCTCTTGCTGAATAATTAGCATGTGTGTGACATGTATGTATGTGTGTACGTACAGACATGTATACATGTCAGTAAAATCCATGTATTACAGATCCATGGGGAGAAACAAAATGATTGGAGTATCTGCCATAGGTTTATTTTAGTGACTTGGAGAACATGAACCCTGCAGAACTTGGCATCTGGAGAAGATGTCCCTGGGTTCTATAGGAACTTAGAAAAGAGTCTGATTCTCCCCCCATGCCCTGACACTGTTTACCCTTAACATAGGGAAAACCCTGATGCTCAACTTAAAGTCTGGTCTATTTGAACATACAAGATGGCGTTGCTACAACTACTTGAGTCAATCATAATCAAAATGCTGTAGTATGTTACACTAGAAGTTGTATCTAATTGATTTTTAATTTAAAGTAGATACGTCACCTATCATGAAAGCTTCTTACCATTTCAAGGAAACACAGGATTCTAAGAGCTTTGAAGAACTTTCTGTTAATTAGCTCATTAATCACCACATTAACAATACACGGTGGTGCTACTGTTAACATTATTCTAGTGTGAGGATCCTGAGGCAGAATGTGTTAAGTGACCTAACCAGAGACACAGAGGTATTAAATGGCTTAACTATTATACCAGTAGTTGTACAGTCAAGATGAACCCAGGCAGGTCTCCCTTCCATATAAATGTAAAAGATGTAAATTTATCAACACTTTAATCTTCCTGAGAGTGTATTTCTTTAAAATCCAACTACATGCTGCCTAAGGGCAAGATGTATGGTATTACATTTAATTACAGTGGAATTAGGTGTAGGAGGAGAGTAACACTGATGGCAGAACACCGCTTATACAGTAGAGAACAGAGTTCAGAGGGACTCGTGTACAACGGAGTGTAGAGAATTAAGCTTAGGTCAGATCTTCAGGCTTTTAAAAAGCCGAAGAAAAGGTGTTGGGATTAAAATCTGTAGGCAATAAGAGTATTTTTATGTAGAAATAATGACACAGAATGGCTAAGAATGTGGCCTGTGGAATAGGTCTGTCTGCCACTTAGGAGCTGTGTGACTGTGGGCAAGTCACGTAAACCTCTCTAAACTTTTTTTTTTAAGTTTATTATGATTTTCTAATATAATTTATTGTCTAGTTAGCTAACCTACAGAGTTTATAGTGAGCTCTTTGTTTTGAGAGTAGATTTCCCACGGTTCATCACGTACGTACAACACCCAGTGCTCATCCCAACAGGTCCCCTCCTCAGTGCCCATCCCCCATCTAGCCCATCCCCCAACCCACCCCACCCCCCTGCAACCCTGTTTGTTCTCTGTCTTTAAGAGTCTCTTATGGTTTGCCTCGCCCTCTATTTGACACCATTTTTCCCCTTCCCTTACCCCGTTGTCTTCTGTTAAGTTTCTCAAATTCCACATATGAGTGAAAACATGTTATCTGTCTTTCTCTGACTGACTTCTTTCACTTGGCATAATACTTTCCAGTTCCATCCACGTTGTTGTCAATGGCATGATTTCATTCTTTTGAGAGAGAGGGAGAGACGGCGTGTGCGCGCATGCCAGCAGGGCAGAAGCAGAGAGAGAGGGAGACAGAGAATCCCAAGCAGGCTCCGCATCACGGGGGGCTCCATCCCTCAAACCATGAGACCATGACCTGAGCCGAAATCAAGAGTCGGGTGCTTAACCCACTGAGCCTCCCAGGTGCCCCTAAACTTAGTTTTCTTACTTGTCAAATAAGGATAATAATGGTACCTACTCTAAGGGATTGGTATGGAAATTAAATTGACTCATAGGTAAAGTGCTTGGCACCTTAGAGCAAGCACCCTCTAAATTTTAGTTGTTTTTGTTACTGTTACTTTAAGAGAACTTTTTTATGTAAAAAGCTGCTTTTGGAGTAGCTGACTGGTAACACTGCAAAACGAGTTAACCGAAGTAGGGATGCCACATACGTTATTGTGTAGTCACCCTACCAAGAGTTGGTTACGGCCTGGAGTGGGGTAATCGAGCGGGTCGTATGTGGTGTTAATCGGCATACCTGGCCTGTAAACCATCTGGGTGAATTTGGGCATAAACACTTGAAAAAATGAAGAAATATTTTTTATAATTGTATAATAATGTGGCTTACATTAAGACCATATTGAAAGATAAAAAATTCAATGGGCTTTATTATGTGAACATTTCCCTTGAGTAGGACTAAGGGATGGTGTTTTTCGCGAGGTCATAGATTTTTCATTCTTGACAGCAAGTCTTTCTCTTCTTTGGCTCACTGAGCTCTACTCAGTGTTTGCATGCTTGGCACAGCACCAGGGCCGGATGACTTCTTCATTACGGTGAGTTTAGGGTGTAGACAATCTTCATTAATGTATTAAATGAAGGTTTGTGTGTTACACTTGGAAGTGAGATATACAGCCTCTAAAATATCACTGTTTTTGAAATACTTTTTGTAATTTGCCAAAAAGTATTTCAAAAACAGTGATATTGAAAACAAATTGATTAAACTTCTTTCCGAGGATGAAAGTATGTTTTGCAAAGCACATTTATATTATACCCCAGAGAGTGTCTTGAGATGTGTCCGGGTGTCTGATGAGACTCCGCTGAGACCAGGCTGACCTTCACCAAGACAAGATCCGTAAAATAGTTTCTGACATTTACTTCCCAATGAGTTTTACCAAAAATTGTGGGTCCAGTACTATCCCATTTCTTTCAAGATAAAAATTAAATGTTTTATTACATTTGAATGTGACAAGTTCTGTATTAAGTGATATGATTTAATGTAATTTAGGAAATAGTTCAGTACTTGACATTTTCTTTACTGTGTCTGACATGATTGGAGTAAGACTTAAGAGAATTATGACTTTTATCTGTTTGACAGATTCTGATGATCTACTAAAACTTCTTTTGTAAAAAGTCACAATACTTACAATGTTTGTTAAAGACAACAATACTGTAAAATATTGTTACTCTTCTTTTCATATTAGGACATAGGCTTTAAATTACAATTTAAAAGCTAAGAATTGAAAAGATACAATAGAAAATCATTTCGTCCTTCTGGCTGAACAGTGCACTCTGTTCAGATGGGCATCTCTACATACGGAGCTGCACTACCGAGGCTCAGGGCATCTAAGAGTTAAGATCTCTGCTGGACAGTGTGTCCTTTACTCCTGTCCCTGCCCTGGTCTCCTTGACAGCAGGGGTCTCACAATGGGTCCTCCAGACCAGGTGCACCCACAGCACCTGGGCCCCAACCCTGACTGTGGTGATCACACTCTGTGTTACCCTGACTTTGCGTGTTGTCAGACATTGACGTGGTTCTGC